CGGGATAAACACTGCCTCTGTGTGCCCCTAACCAACAAAGGACTAGCTACAAGAAGATAAACTAGGTAATCTTAACCTTACATTTCACTGTTCTTTCTCCTTAGCCGCCACAATTTACCCATTTTACCCCATCATCTAATTCTTAAACACAGACGAGTTTTGGAGTCTACAAAGCCTTGGTTTTATTGATGGAGTTGTCTTTCTATACCTCTCGTCTCAACTGTCATTTATTTTTGTAGTAAGTCAATCATTATTGTATGGATCATGGTCCACACAAGTTGTGTGGACCATATTTTGCCTACTGTAAAATAATGTACGTTCAATACAAAAATAATGTACATTCAATATAAAAATAATGTACATTGTATTCAGAGGATGTATATTATTTTTGTTCTGAGTGTATATTATATTGTATAATGTACATTCAGTACAAAAAATAATGTACATTTAGTATATTAAAAATGTACTTTTTGTTATGGTCTACATAACATTGTGTGGACCATGGTCCACACAATAATTTGCCTTACTCTTGCCTCATAAATGATAGTTAAATGTATTAAATACCAAAACTGCCCTTATGTGTCTGTTTATTTTATATTAAATTAATTTTTTTATATACAATAAATAAATATTTTTTTTATTTTGAGTAAGGGTATTTCTGTCATTTGATATTATATAGAGGCTTTGGATCCCATGAGAACACAACCCAGAGAAAACTAAGAACAAATCTCAACCTTACACTTGTAAAAATTTAATGGTTCTAATAAGATTTTTAAAAAATGCGGTGGCATTTTCATAATTATCATCTATTTCCAGCCTAGCGCTGGAGAATGCAGCAACAAAAGCTGGAAAGCTGCTTTCCTTCTCAAGCCGCAAGGCTAGAGAAGAGAATTGGCTACTGACAGCGATCAACCCGACCGTCTAGCCTACGACGGGAAATTCAAACTCTGATAATTAAACCTTAATACGTCAAAATTATTCTTAATCCTTCTAAACTTTAGTATATGTATACAACAATAATATGCATATATATATATATATATATATATATATATATATATATATATATAATTTCAATACAAGATTAACGCTTATATATACATATACACAAATACACAAATTGAAATTAACGCATATATATATACACACAAATTTCAAAACAAAATTGGTAAATCATTATACCTAACCTTGCTCTTGATACCACATGTAAAACTATAACAATAGACATTGAATGATTCAACCAATACTTTAATCGGAAGCGTTAAAGTACCAACCTGATTCCATGAGAGATTGATGAAGCTTTTAGCCCTTTCTTCTTCACAACTTCTTTCTTCAGGTTTGCAGAGTGTTTTTCCCTCTGGTCTTTCACGTTTAGCTTTCACAGTGATAGGATAGGAAAATGCTTATGCCTTTTTATATTGCCTTCTTTACATAACTTACGTTCCAATATTGATTATTGGAATTATGGCAATAATGACCATAAACCAAATAAATTAAGTAGGCTTAAATAGCCCTATTGAAAGCCAGCGAGAGGGGAATAATAACCCCTTGATCTGTTACATATTTTATACCCATTACCTATCACAATGAGATTCTAATTGTCCAGACCACTTAATACATGGGCCACAATAACATTAAAATAAAATATTCTGACATTTTCCCACTTGGTCCATTTGTATCATTGATGGACTAGGATAACTTTAATTTGCGAAATGTCCCAAAACATCAATGAACTTTTACTTAAATTAAAGTTAGCTTGATCATGGCGGTCGCATGTTTTTTGAACAACATGTTCCCTTCTATGCATCATAGTCAACTTTAATTTCGATACTGACAACCATAGGTGCAAACAGAGATATATCACTAATTGAATTCAAACAAGTCAATATTTATAGCATAAAACTGAAAACAAAATTACAATGATAACAAGGCTCTATTCAAAATTCCCATACTCTCCACATGACAGGAGAAGACCTTCGATGCTAAACCTTTGGTCAAAGGATCAACAACCACAAGTTCAGTTTTGATATGCCAAATTGACACTCTCTGTTTCTGTACTTCTTCTTTAACTGACAAGTATTTTAATTCCACATGTTTAGCACCTTTAGAGTATTTGTCATTCTTAGAGAAGAACACCGCTGAAGAATTGTCACAATAAATTCTCAAAGGCCTAGAAATACCGTCGACTACTCTAAGCCCCGAGATCAAATTCCGCAGCCACAGTCCATGATTTGTGGCTTCAAAGCATGCCACAAATTCTGCCTCCAAAGTGGAAGTAGCGATGATTGACTACTTCACAATTTTCCAGGAAACTGCTCCTCCAGCTAATAGGAACAAATAACCTGTAACACCCCCGATTTTCAACAACTTTTAAAACCAATTAAAGCTTAGAAAAGAGATAAAGTCTACTCATTAAGATTAAACAAGGCGGAAGCTAACTAAACAAAACCGGGAGATGCTATGCCACACCTATATCATACACAGGTGCACAGGCAGATATTACAACTACAGCAGTCTAACAATTCAACTACTTAGGCACACAGGCCTCAACCACTAATAAAGGAAGATATCTAATCTATCTACAGGCCACTAGCGCGCTCTCCGAAGCTACCCAACCTGTAAAGCAACAATAAGAAAAGGGACGACGCCCGGTCAGCGAATGATGCTGGTAACCCACCAATACATGTGAAATATCATATGTAGATAGTTTATATGTATACAAAATCATTTGCGAAAGGGGATATAGTATATATCAATTTCAAAGCCAAGATAGAAGTCAAACACAAGACTCTTGCACTCACAATAAAGATAAGAGAACACATCCCAATACAACAAGGAGCAATCACGACTCACAAGAACGGCTCAAGGCATAATCTACCATCACACAGTAGATTAACACCCGACATGCATCACACAAGAGAATAAAGACACAACCATTGGCAACACATGCCTTTGTGACAACACACGTCACAAATAGAGAAATACACAACAACGGCTACACAAGCCTTCGTGACATCACCCATCACGAATTGAGATGCCTTCATTATCCCCGGTTCCAACCTTATGGCTACCCCCAACCTTATGTCTAGTTCCAACCATTACCTCCAGGACCCCTGTACAACCAAATCCAACCTTTTCCCTCCTGGGACCGTCGTCCCCCACCAACGACCACCAACAAGACCACCGATTCATAGTACACGAGGATACCGATCACACACACGGCAACACATGCCAACCAAGAAATACGTGAACCCATCACTCAGGTCACAAACTCCATAATCGCGTCATAGCCACCACGAGGACCACTGCCGTACCTTGGTGACTAATGTCCCATACCATTAATCGTGCAATCCAGGTACAGCCATACACCCACACGACAATAGGAATCAATCAACGGATCATAACGAAGATATGAAACCATACTCAATCAAGGAAAGGATCACAATTCGACTCCAACAATGATTGACACAAGTCATCATCCACAATAGGATAAGACAAATAACACACACGCTAGCATTTAAACACCGTACTAACATGCTTATCAAACGGGTAAACCAAACATAGTTCCGAAGAACACACAAGACTCATCACGGTTCAACGAATCACAATGTTGAACACTTAGCACGATTCAAGACACCAAAACCTACATGGAATCCTACCATATAGTTCTAGACATACAAAACATCAAGAAGACACTCAAATAGTTCCACAAAAGAACATCGGGAAATCAAAAGACCAAATACCGAGTCAAAAGAATCACGGGGAACAAATCCCCAACCATCATCAAAGTATGTACCCGTGAGAACACAACTCCCACACACCTATACCCCGCAGGTGGGGCGGCGGGTGGACGCCTACCCGCCGTTCCGCCCGCGGGTACCATGCCCTGTACAAAAACATCCCTTCGGGATTTTCAACACCAAGCTCAAATTCAAGTCCAAAACATGCCAAATCTCACCAAATACAACAAAATGACTTGAATCAAAGGAATAACCAAGCAATAGCGTATAAGAACCCTAATAACAAGCTCTAGATATGCATTTTTCATAAGACAATGCATCAACACTCACATTTCATAGTAAAATCACATGTAGAATCCAATAAATCATCATATAGGTAAGAAAAATAGATTTTGTAGAGCATGGGTTACCTCAATCGCTTATCCAACCAAAACCAACGCCAACATAGGCTAGGCTCAACATAAAAACCAAGCTACCGGGAACCTGTGAACCAAACCGATCCTTCAACTATTAACACAAGTACTAAACAAAACTAATTTATGCTCATAAGGGAAATTGAACCCTAGTTCCACTCTAAATTAACCACAAATCTAACCATCTAAGCTAAGTATTCATTTGTTAACTTAATCACACATTAAAGGACTAAATAAGCTAATAACCATGCTCCCTAATAAAACTATTAACTAAAAATAAGGTGGGATTTGAACCCTAGCTGTTGCCAACACCAAACACCCTTCTTACCATCACACTAAGTTAACCACTTGGTAATTAATTAACATAAAAACTAATTAAACACTAAGCCTAACAACAAAACAAGGAAGGAGCTCACCAACTGCCATCTTCTTCTTCGTTTCTTCATGACCGAACCCGCGGGTAGTACCACGGCAAGCCCTCCACCCGTCCATCCGCCCGCTGCCTCACTGCTACAGCCGGAGCTGGACTACACCGCCCAAGGTTGCCGGAGCTCCACTGCTCACCGGAGGTACCGCCGACGTCGAGAAGATAAAGGCAGACGCCGAGTAGCTCCGTCCGTTGTCGCCGTCGACACACTCCCGCACTGATCAGCTTCAAGGTTGTTGCCAAGGGGTTCCCGGAGACCATAGCTCACCCCACCGTCGCCGCCGAGCTTCGTTACCTCCCACTTCCTCCAGGAAGAGGACGCCACCACGAGCTCCTGCTCTGTTCTTGCGCTGCTGCCAAAGACGAGGTGAGAAAGGAGGCTGCTTGACGTTGGACCACCACCATCACGCTGTTGCTCCGATGGAGAGGGCGCTGCTAGCTCGCCATGGCCACCTTGGCTTCTTCCTGCCTTGCCATTCACTGATCCTACCGGAAGAAGAGGAAACTGCCGCTGATCTCCTATGGCTTGAGGAAGAGGCGTGGGATAAGCAAGTGGGTTTCTTGGCCTAGAAGAAGGAGGGTGATGGAGATGTGAGAGATGACCAAGCAAGACAAGGGGTTAGGGCAGTGATGTTCTGTGTTGCTATTGCCGAAATGAGGAGAAGGGAAAAAGGGAAGGCTTATCACAAACATTCATCCAAAAGATAGGGTTAAAATTACTAGGTTGGGCTTAGGTAATTGGGTTGGGTAAAACTTTTAGGTCAAGAACCATACACCTTATAAATTTAGGTATACAAAATAGTAACATATATATGCTCATGGGCTTAGCTATTTGGGTTCAAGACTCTTACAATTATATTTTTGGCTTAAGGCATTTGGGTATAAAAATACCGGTTCGCAATACTACATAGACCCAACATATTTAATAGCGGGACTATAATTAATTTTAGGAAAATACAGGGTGTCACATAACCAAATGTAGATTTTCTAGTATCTACACACCCAACATAGTCTGAATCAAAATAGCCAATCACTTCAAGTGGATCTGACTTCCTATATGTAAGCATGTAATCTTTTGTGCCTTGTAGATATCGTAAAACCTTCTTCGCAGCCTTCCAGTGTTCTATGCCGGGATTAATTTGATATCCCAACATACCAACAGCAAAGCTGATGTTTGGCCGAGTACAAGTCTGTAAATATCCCAAACATCCAACCACTGTTGCATAAGGTATACCTTCCATTTGCTTTTGCTCAAGTTCATTTCTGGGACATTGAGCTAAACTTAAGTTGTCTCCTTTCTGAATTGGAACCACTCCCGGAGATCATTTATCCATCTTAAATCTTTCCAAGATCTTGTTAATGTATCCTTTCTGAGACAATCCTAATAATCCTTGTGTTCTATCTCGGAATATTTCTATTCCAACCGCATATGATGCCTCACCCATATCCTTCATTTCAAAGGTCTTGGAAAGAAATACTTTAACATCACGCAACATAGACTTATCATTTGCAGTAAGTAAAATGTCATCAACATATAAGACCAAAATAGAAAACTTGCTCCCACTAACTTTCATGTAGATACATCGATCAACAGTATTTTTCACAAAACCATAAGATGTAATAATTCTGTCAAATTTAATATACCATTGTCGGGAAGCTTGCTTAAGTCCATATATTGACTTTTCTAATTTACACACCAAGTGTTCCTTTCCTGTGGTAAAAAACCCTTCTGGTTGGTCCATATATATTTCTTCCTCTAAATCACATAGAAAGGCAGTTTTAATATCCATTTGGTGAAGCTCTAAATTGTAATGAGTCACCAATGCCAAGATAATCCGTACCGAGTCCTTCTTAGAAACTGGGGAAAAGGTCTCGTTATAGTCGATACCACTTTTCTAAGTATAACCCTTGGCAACAAGTCTAGCTTTATACCTTTCGATATTACCATTAGAGTCGTGTTTGGTCTTAAAGACACATTTGCACCCGACTCTTCTTGAATTTTTTGATGTAATTTTACAAGGTTCCAAACTTTGTTAACCTTCCATGGATTTTAACTCATCTTTCATGGTATCTAACCATTTTTCAGAACAGTCACTTTCAATGGCTTGTTTGAAAGAAACTAGATCCTTATCAAAACTCAAATCATTTTCTTGTTCAGTAAAATATATCACGTAGTCATTAGAAATGGCAGGCCTCTTTTCCCTTGTAGAACGCCTTAATGTCATTTATTCTCGTGGTTCATTGATCTCTTACTGAATTGTGATTGATTCATTTTTATTGGTCACAATATCCTCAAGTGGGTTTAGGACATTCTCATGTTTTTCCGGTTCAATAGAGAATGGCAACATGATAACCGGAACTACACCTTGAAAAGAATTTTCATGTGAAGAGGTTTCAGCATGAATTTCTCAAATATCCACCATACGTGGTTCTGTGCTCCCACTATTTTGATCATTTTCAATGAATCGAGCATTCCTAGTCTCTACAATCCTCATACTATAGTTAAGACAATAAAACCTGTACCATTTAGACTTTTCTGGATAGCCAATGAAAAAACCACTGACTGTCCTTGGGTCAAGTTTATTCTCTCGAGGATTATACAACTTTACTTCCGCTTGGCAACCCCATACATGAAGATGCCTTAAACTCGGTTTCCTTCCCGTCCATAGTTCATAAGGTGTCTTATGGACCGCTTTACTTGGAACCCGATTTAATAAATATGCAGCAGTCCTTAATGCATACATCCACAATGAAGAAGGTAAGGTACAATTACATATCATACTCCTAACCATATCCATAAGGGTACGATTCCGCCTTTCAGCTACACCATTTTGCTGCGGTGTTCCGGGCATTGTATACTATGCACAAATACCCCTACTTTCGAGGAATTTAGAAAAAGGACCAGGACATTGTCCTTTTCATTAGACCTACCATAATACTCACCCCCTCGGTCTGACCTCACAATTTTGACTTTTCTATCTAATTGTCTTTCAACCTCATTAATGAACACCTCTAAAGTGTTCACAGACTGAGATTTATCATGCAGTAGATATATGTAGCCATATCGTGAGTAGTCATCTATAAAGGTGATGAAGTACATTTTGCTGCCCCAAGAAGGAACATCGAAAGGTCCACAAATGTCGGTGTGAATTATTTCAAGTAGCTCACTACTCCTTGTGGCAGGTTTCTTGGTTATGTGTTTGATTTGTTTTCCCTTAATACAATCCACACGCGTCTCAATCACTAAAATCCAAGGTAGGGAGGATTTCATTTTTTTCCAACCTTACTAACCTTTCCTTGGATATGTGTCCCAAATGTTTATGCCACAAGTAAGCACAGTTTTCCTTTAATGCACTACGTTTAACTCCTATACTACTCTCAACTTGAAATAAGGATTCAGCAAAATTTACATCAATATTAAAACGATAAAGAGAAGCAATTAAATTACCAAAACCATAATATTTATTGTCCTTACATAAATGAAAAGTACGATTCTCAAATTTGATGTAAAATTCCAACATATCCAACATTCTTACTTAAACAAGATTTCTAGCACAGTGAGGGACATAGAGACAATTTGTTAGATCCAAATGATATCCAGTATCTAGGATCAATCTATAAGTCCCTATTCCCTCTATCCGTGCCTTCATCCTGTTTCCAGTAAACAAGAATTCATTAGTTCTTCTTGTGGGTTGGATCGAACTGATGAATCCCTGCAAAATATGAGAGACATGAGTAGTAGCACCAGAATCTAATCACAAGGTATTGTTTGGTACTTCTATAAGGTTTGATTCAAAAAACATAGAGATAGAATCATTACCCTTCTTTTCAAACCAAGCCTTTCATTCTGGACAATCTTTCTTCAAATGTCCTATTTTGTTGCAAAAGAAGTGCTTAATTCTTTTCGGGGCTTGACCCAACTAAGTGTTATGTTGGGTCTTGCCCTTTTACCTAGTTTTCTTTTATTAGCGCTTGAACCTCCTTGAGATTTGAAATGGATGGAGTGATGTCTTAACTTCTTTAATCTCGTTTCCTCTTGAACCAGCAAATGTTTGGTTTCTTTAAAACTCCATTGTTCTCTAAGAGTATTGTAGTTCACATGGAACTGTCCAAACTCTGCTGGTGGAAGTGAGTTAATGACTAGATGAACTCGCCATGTTTCAGACAACTCCATCCCCATCCCCTTTAATTTTGCTGCAATATTGGCCATTTAGTCGCAATGATCATGGATTGGCATAGACCAATCAAACTTCTTAGAAGTTAGTTCCGTCATCAGGTTCCCTGCAATTGACTTATCTGCAATTCATATTTACACTTTAATGCTTTTATGCTAAGCGTTTAAACAATTCAGACTTACATAGCTTTAATAGATGCCAACAATACATAAAACAATAATAATAATAATAATAATCAAGTACTAGTCAAATAAGCAACTCATCTTTGGATAAAGAAAACTATTTGACAAAGCACTAAAATCATATTCTTTAAATATTATAAATTATTTGCAGTGATTCACCTTTGGGAAATCTCATAGCAATATAATTTATAATTATTGTAATTGTCATCTAAGGCATCTCAATGATTTGGGCAGAATAAATTCTAATTTTTTTTTATCAATATCTATCATCATTTTCCTAGATCACTTTGGTGACTAATAAGCTAAAAAAAATAGACATCCTTAATGAGTGAAATAGAATTTTATTGCCACATAACACATTCATTTAGTCCAAATATTATATAACATGGTCACTTTGGTGACTTTCAGAATCCTTAATAGATTAAAAACAATTTGAGTAGAAAAAATTTATTTTATTTTAATCTAATTGTCACTTAGCCAGGCCACTTTGGTGACTAACGGGCTCCTCACAACAATAGGTAAAAAATTAATAATAATAATAACAATGATAAAGTTGGAGATAATGAACCACAATCGATTTAATATCCGTAAAATAATATTTATATATATACACACGAAATATATATAAAATATTATTGGATATATATCCGAAATATATATATACACACAAATATATATAAAACGGACCCAACGGTTATATATACATGTATATCTACGAAAAAGATATACCAATATATATCAACCAAAAAGAAAATATAATCCTTAGATTATAATTCCAAAACAACAAGAAAGAACGGATTTTTGCTTAGAGCATAATCCAAAACAAGAAAGAAAAAGAAAGAAAGAAATGCACGAGTTAGGCAAAGTGCCTGTCTTTCCTTAAAACCTTATTTGCCACCTCCCAAAAATGCTAGGAGCGTTGTGGCCTAGGTTTCCCAGGATAAAGCGTACAACGGTTCGACGTTTGAGCACCCAAACGAACGAACCCGGCGAACTAGAGCACGGGCAAAACACAGTAGCTAGAAAGAAGTAGGAGTAGAGTTTTGAGAAGAAAATGTGCTTATCTTTGTGTGTTGTGTCTCTCTTGTTCTTCCCTCACGTTCACTTCCTTTCTAACATTGTTTTCAAAAAGGTTGCTCCCACCACATCTTTATATAGGAGATTGGTACTAAATAGCATCATCATGACACATTAACCAACATAAATTCAATTTAAAAATTGAATTATAGCGTTTGAAACGGTCGTACTTATTATCGAAATAATATCAACGGTCACGAACTTAATATCCGATTAATTCGTACCGACCATAACGACCCGTTTCAAATATCTGAGTGACCGAGAAGTCCGTACAAACCCAAAAGGTTAACGAATTGGGACCGAAAACCACACCCGAATGGTCCGCAAAGTACCGAAACGGTGTGGCACGAATCAATGCACATAGCATTGATTCGTGCAGCACGAAAGATAGCTCACACGAAAGGAGCTTAATTCACTAATTAAACTTGCTTAATTACATGTAGCATCTTTCGTCCATGCATAACATTCGTCCATGCAAACTTTCGTCCCAATTCCTATTTCACTATTTTAAGCTTTCCAAAGCTTAATCACAAGCTTGACAACTCATGTTGTCACACTAATTAGGCTTAATTAAGCTTAATCTTAAGCTTTAAGCTTTCTAAGCTTAATTTGACTTCTCTCAAATAGGTTCACTTTGAGAATCAATTTCTCATTCACCTATTACCCATTTTGAGCGTACATTATATCAAATTCTTCGTCTCACTACGAAGAACCCGAATCCACCTTGACCCGACCCAAATCGGAAGTGGATCCCACATATATTTGTACCACAAAATAATCACTCAAAATATCATTTTAATGCTATTTTTCCAACAGATAATTTGAGAACCATACAAATCCACGAATCACCAAACCATAATAATTCATGAATCCAACAAATCTTTCATTCTTATAGTTAAAAACAACATTTAAAATTATTATTATTATTATTATTATTATTATTATTATTATTATTATAATATAATTTTTTTAATGGGCTAGGGCTCTAGCCAAATAGGCTAGAGCCCTTCACGTACTGCCCAAACAAAAAAGAACATCTCCAGCCTAGCGCTGGAGAATACAGCAGCGAAAGCTGGAAAGCTGCTTTCCTTCTCCAGCCGCAAGGCTGGAGAAGAGAATTGGCTACCGACCGCGGTCAACCCGACCGTCTAGCCTACGACGGGAGATTCAAACTCTGATAATTAAACCTTAATCCGTCGAAACTTTAGTATATGTATATAACCATAATATGCATATATATAATTTCAATACAAGATTAACGCATATATATATACATATACAAAAATTGAAATTAACGCATATATATGCACAAATTTTAAAACAAAATTGGTAAATCATTATGCCTAACCTTGCTCTTGATAGCACATGTAAAACTATAACAATAGGCATTGAATGATTCAACGAATACTTTAATCGGAAGCGTTAAAGACTAACCTGATTCCATGAGTGATTATATTAATGAAGCTTTTAGCCCTTTCTTCTTCACAACTTCTTTCTTCAGGTTTGCAGAGTATTTTTCCATCTGGTCTTTCACGTTTAGCTTTCACGGTGATAGGATAGGAAAATGCTTATGCCTTTTTTATATTGCCTTCTTTATATAACTTACATTCCAATATTGATTATTGGAATTATGGGCCATAAACCAAATAAATTAAGTAGGCCTAAATAGCCCTATTGAAAGCCAGAGAGAGGGGAATAATAACTCCTTGATCTATTACATATTTTATACCCATTACCTATATGGCCATAAACCAAATAAATTAAGTAGGCTTAAATAGCCTTATTGAAAGCCAAAGAGAGGGGAATATAATAATAACCCCTTGATCTGTTACATATTTTATACCGATTACCTATATGGCCATAAACCAAATAAATTAAGTAAGCTTAAATAGCCCTATTGAAAGCCAAAGAGAGGGGAATAATAACCCCTTGATCTCCTCTCAGAAGAACAAAAATAAACCCCTTGATTTGTTACATATTTTATACCCATTACCTATCACAATGAGATTCTAATTGTCCAGACCACTTAATACATGGACCATAATAACATTAGAATAAAATATTCTAACAAAAGAGACACCCGAACTAGGACCATCTTGAATCACTAAATTAACCTGAGGACCCGACCTTCCTGAATACCTACGAAAAAAATGTAATGACGGTGTGACCTTGTGTGTCACAAATCTGACACCGAGGTACCAAGAACAACGAACCGCCACGCTGCCAGAAATTACCATCATGACCACGACTTCGGGAACCAACAAAATTTCATCCTCTACGCTGATGATTGCCACAAGACGAGTGTCCACCACGCGAATGTCTAGAACCACGGCGAGAGTTTCCAAAACCACGCTGAGCCAGTAAATCCGCTGGTGAAGATCCTCCAGCCTCGACTAGTGCAACAAAATCATCAGAACTGATAAATTCATCGGCAAGCTCCTGGAGCGTCACAGGCGTGCCGCGAACAGACATCGAAGTAGTGAGAGACCGAAACTCAGGCCAAAGTCCCTAGAAAACGTACAAATTCTACTCGTCGAGGGAGACTGGCAGGCCGGTGAGCGCCAAGTCCTCCATAATCACATGAGCTCGCCCTAAGTAGTATGTGATCGAAGCATCACCTTGCCGTAGATTTTGAAGCTATCCAAAAAGATTCAGTGCATGAGCCCTGGAAGACGAAGCAAGAGCCCGCTTAATGGAACCCCAAACCTCCTTGGGTATTCGACGACTGATTGCCAAATGCATCACTTCCTCAGAGGGGGAAGAGATCAACATGGACAAGAGAGCTTGATCTTGTTGCACCCACAAAGCATGCACAAGATTTGGTACGGTAACAGTAGACGACGAACTGGCTGTAGCAACCGGAGCAGGAATCACTGACGACGGACATGCCATGGAACCATCAATAAAGGCCATCAAGTTTTGACCTCGTAGAAACAGTACAAGTTGAGTCCTCTAGAATAGAAAATTTTGGGAATTGAAGTCAATTTAATGTTGACAAAGTGGTGTGATATAGACAAAGAGTTTGTAGCAACAGTCACTGGGAAAGTATCAGCTACGTCAGAGACAGTATGTTCGGAATAAACCGCAACAGATCCGTCGAAAGCTGTAGAGTTAGCAATCATGGTAGAACAAACCTGAACTGTTGATACCAGATGAGAACATGTGGTTTTCAATTGCACGATCGTTCAAGCATACAATGATGATTAAATATGTAAAAGGAAGGGTTACAATATAACTCAAACTAATTGAGTCCTAACAGCGATGCCCGGCAAAGTTCATACCCAATATTATAATATTGATCAACTAAAATTTAATATTTTTTACTATCGCTAATCACTAAAATTTAATAAAAGTAAATAATGTTAATCCTTAATTGGAATGAAAATTGTGTTGATAGTATAACTTATATCAAATGTTTGTTCTTTGTGCTATTAGTATTGTTCCTTTACACTTTCTTTCTAATTTCATTCTTCACATTTTTCATTTTGACCTTTATTTTAACATTAGTCAGTAATTGGATAAAAAATATATTAGTGGTATAATTGGCATTAAATGTTTTTCTTTAGTACTTTTTATGTTGGACATTTACATTTTCTTACCAAGTTTACCCTGAGTATTTTTTCTTTTTGCCAGTTGTATCCTCACTATGCAAAATAAAAATGCATGCATACATATGTGTATAATATAGTTTAATTTAATAATACTTTTTAATTAATTCATAATGTGTATCTATTTTAACTTGCATTATATTATATTGCATGCATCGGATTGATCTTTATTTTCTTTGTAATTCTTCTTAATTAGTTCTGCCGGATCTGATCTCAAGAGTCAAGAGAGAGAGACGCATATTAAATGGCTTACGCTGCTGTAACTTCACTTATGGAAACACTTTCTCTACATTTCTTGCCTCTTGAAGATTTAGAGGCACAGATGAGAGATAATGGCAACGAAAATCAAGGTTGGACGGGGCGTATAAAGGCTTGCCTCCATGGAATAATCTTCAATCAAGCAGTAAAACAGACTACTGATTACCTGAAGAAGAAGTTAATTTCAAGTGAAATGCAGCTTGCGGAGAGCTCATCACAAAATGTTTGGCATAGTATACCATTGACTAGTTCTCAGTTCAGAGATGTCGCTGAAGTCAATCAAAAGATGATCTCTCTCCATGAAAATCTTAGCTTACTGCAAGACATTCTAACTCAGAACTCTGAGATTATTGCCAAAGATTTAGAGGCAGAGATCAGAGATGCAGCTTTCGAAGTTGAAAAAAGGATTGAGATGGAGTTGAGTAGCATTTATCTATGGGAGGGCCAGGCGGATAGTCTTCTTCATATAACAGATTGCCTGCACAGGCTTCATGAAATCTTCAATGAAGCAGAAAAACAGACTGATTACCTCAAGAATGAGTTGATGATTAGGATTCAAAGTGATGAACACCAGCTCCCAATCCCAAAGGCTTCGTCACAAAATGAGACTGTTTCACCCATTGCTTGGATGCCACAAATCATTGCTTGGATGTCACAAATCATTGCTTGGGTTATCTGCATTATTAATGTGAGTAGATTTTTCAAAAAGTCTTCAAAGTTCGATGACAGTAGTGGAATGGTTGGATGCCAAGAGGTGTTCAAGAAGATATTGAATCAGCTCACGCAACAATCAACTAAGAGGAGCAGAAAAGTTGTTTCGATTGTTGGCATGGGAGGAATAGGCAAGACCACTTTAGCACACAAACTTTATGAATATCCATCAATTACTTCTCATTTCGACAAGCGAGCATGGGTCACTATATCCCAAGGGTATAGCGTGGAACAAATGCTCCGATGTCTTATTGATTGTGTTGCTGAAGCATCAAGAGATGAACTTCATGAACAGAGCACTGCCCAAGACCAATTAGCAGAAACACTGCATAAATGTTTGAAGTGTCGGAGGTATTTGATAGTGATTGATGATATATGGAGCACTTCCACTTGGGATAGTGTGGAAAGATGCTTTCCAGATGATAATAATGGAAGTTGTATACTATTGACATCTCAGCACAAAAAGGTGGTTAAACATCCAAGCCCAGGTAACTCTGTCATTAACATGCCTTTCTTAAATGCCGACGAAAGTTGGAGTCTCTACTGCAAAGTGTTTGGTAAAATTGAATTTCCTCCAAAGTTTGAGCAAATTGGTAGAAACATAGTGAATAAATGTAGAGGATTACCTCTAGCTATTACTGTAGTAGCTAGTCTTCTCTCCAAGACAGAGGAGGTGGAAGAAAAGTGGAAGAATGTTGCAAAAAGTATAACTGGTAATTCCAATGATGCATGCTCGAGAATACTATATCTGAGTTACAACCAACTGCCCCCTCACTTAAAAGCTTGCTTTTTATATTTTGGAATTTTTGAGGATGGCTATGAAATTTCTGTGAAGAAGTTGGTTAGGTTGTGGGCAGCAGAAGGATTTTTGAGCAGTGTGAAGCATGTGAATATGGAAGAAGTGGCTATGGAATGCTTGCAAGATCTTGTTGATAGAAGTCTCGTTATAGTTAGCAAACAGAGCTACAATGGGAAAATAAAAAGAGTAAGGATACATGATCTATTGCGAGATTTGTGCTTGAAAGAAGCTAGTTATGAAAATCTCTTGAATGTCATTGGAGACGAAAAACCTTGCCGTTGGATATGTCTTACATCAAGAACTAAAGTCAGGTTTGAAGATGATGAGTGCTTTCACAAATCTCATTCCTTTCATTGTACTCATCTTTACAATTACAGGAATGCAGACGTGGAACACCTATTTTCACACTTGAAACTTCTAAGAGTAGTAGATATGAGAGGCATATTTTTCGATGAAGGTACGGCACCAAATGTGCTGGCAAATCTTGTTCATTTGAGATACTTAGCTTTCTTCACAGATAACACTTTTGAGATAAAGCTCTTTAAGCATTGGAACATGCAAAGTTTTATTGTTAGTGGGGCTGGTGTTACATTGGATTCCTCTGAGGCAAATAGAATTTGGAAAATGCCACGATTAAGGAATTTTTGCATTGGACAAATTGTTTCATTAGAAACTCCGTCGGTGGGTTATAGAAACTTAGAAAATATATCTTGGTTAGATTCTAAATTATGTACGAAGAATTTGTTTACAAGGATCCCAAATTTAAAAAAATTGGGGATTCATGGTGGTAGGTACAAAAAAAATAATTTATATTTTTTAAATAATCTTGTGCACTTGGGACAGCTTGAGAAACTAAGCGTCAGAAGGTGGAAGTGGAAGGAACCCAACCTTGCTCAGTGTAAAATTCAATGGGCAACTAGTTGTCTACCAAATCTTAAGAAGCTCAACTTGTTGAAGTCTAATCTGCCGTGGAGTGAGCTGAGCCCTATTAGTATGTTGCCTAATCTGGAGGTTCTAAAACTGATAAATGCTTGTAGAGGCCCACAGTGGGATACCAATGATGGAGGGTTCCCGCGATTGAAGAGGTTGGTAATTAAAAAGACAAATCTCAAATATTGGAATGCTGTGGGTGACCATTTCCCGATGCTCGAATGTTTAGAGATAAGTAATATGAAATGGTTGGAAGAAATCCCTTGTGGTTTTGCGAATATCACCACACTAGCATTGATTCAGTTAAGCTATTGTAGGGATTCCCTCGTGACTTCTGCAAAGTGGATTAAAAAAGAGCAATACGACAACTATGGAAATGATGCGCTCCTTGTTCGTTCTGAAAATATTTTGGTCTCTTTCTATCCCTCATCTCTGATATATCTCTCACCATTTAACATGCACTTCATGCTACTTGAGTTTTTCATTGTTGATGGTTACAATGGATAATCATCTGATATATCTAACCGTGTTCACCTCTTTCTTTTTACTGAATTTATTGTTTCCAGACTTAAAAATCATGGTAATAAGAGGTTTGAGCGAGGAGGAAGAGATCAATGATGAATGAATAGGTGTAGTAGGTATGTTAGTTGTATGCACACATATATCTGTTTATTTTGGTGTTTTTTGTCTCAAAGCTAAGGGAAATCAATTAAGCTTATATTATATTATTGCTTTCATTTTTTGGAAATATAGGAAGGATCGGAGAAATTGCTGGAAGACGAATTTTGAATGTGCATAGTGGTTAGCTGAAATGGTCTCTGTTTCTCAGAAATCTGATGGATGATGCCATATATAGCATTGCAGGATATATGGGAACTGAATTTATTCATTTCAAGTCTCAGAAATGGTTTTTGCATTTTTTTTTTGGTGGATTAGCCAAGAAGTTCATTTGAAACCTTGATTTTCTTGAGTTAGTTGTCTTTCTTCATCTCAAGTGTCAACTGTTATTTATTTCTGTAGTCAAGAGAAGTTGTATGCAGCCAGGCCATTTGAATAATATGTGTATCCCTGAATATCTCTTGCCAAAATTTGCTGATAAAGAAGACCTTATCACTAGCAGTGATAATACTCTGGGGAACCCCATGTATCTTAATCTTATACATCTTGTCCATAAACATATGCTATATACTACTCCGTATATAGTAACGCTTACTATGGTAAGGATATAGAGGTTGTCTTAGTGCAAGTATGGAGGGTAGGCCTCTTATAGCTTATTATAGTTTGTTTAGTTTTTATAACCACATAATACAATTTCATGGAATTGACTACCACCCATGTGATGCACCGAATGTATATTAAACTATTTTATAATTAAATATTAAATTACTAATATACATCTTTAAAAAAAACATATAATTAATTAATGCGAAACAGGAATCAGAAAATTGTATTGAACGCATTACTAAATTTACAAAAATATAAACATAAATAAACACAAACACTATAATTGACCAAATCTAATTACAAATTTTTAAAATCTTCATGATACACAACATTAAATTCATTGTGATGCACCGGATGAATATCAGGCAACATTATAATAATACTATTTATTCAAAAATACACAAGTTAACATACACCAATTCATATATTACAAAATAAATATAGTTAATATTAATTTTACAAAAAGCCTAAACATTCACACTAAACTTTACAAATTGTCAAAAACATCCTTGTACATAACATTTGTCGTTGAAGAAAAGTACTCTCTATTTTGGCCTAAAATAACAATTTAAGACCCTTAGGGTTGTTAACTCTAGATAGAGCCACATACAGTTGTCCATGTACAAAAACATGTTTCTTCAAAAGTAATCCAAAATTCGAAATACTTTAACATTGGTTCTTATTTATTGTCATTGCATAAGATAACACTAGAGGGAATTGTCTCTTTCGGAACTTAAATGGTAACCGAGGATCTGATAGAGTCCATGTCAATAACATGATCCCCTAATTTACTAATAACTAATCTCGTGCCACTACACAAGCCCATTGAATGATCAATGTTCCGTAAAAAGCATGATTGGAGACCCTAGTGATAAGTGCCAAAGATGCTACATTTTGTGTGGTATTTAGGAGGCATATTGTGCTATAAGTGGAGTCCTTTAAGCCTAATTCATGATTAGAATAGATTAATTTGATAAGAGTTAGGAACAAGGACTAATTGTGATCGCCTTTTTAGAAAAAGAGAAAAACATTGTCAATTACAGTGCATTACGGCGACAGTTCGATAGGTTGATCATATCTCAAGCTAGGAGTGTCCAAATGAGGTGTTTCAAGTGGCTATGGTTCGGCAACTTCAAGGGCTACAACGTTGGTGAAGGCAAGAAAGGAAAAATTCCAACCGAAAGTTCAACGCAATGCACAACGTGCGTTGTGGCGTGCGCTGTCAAGGAGGCCGAAAGTACAACGCATCGCACAACGCGCTTTGTGGAATTAGTTGGGCGGCCAGCGTGGAAATTCCAGATTTTCAGCCTATTTAAAGGCTTGTAAGGGGATTATTTTGGAGGACTGACTTTTACCATCATTTTACACTTCAATTTCAGCTCTCTTAGGTTAGATTTATGTTAGGGTT